TTCTCCCCAGCCAAGTGAGCCCTGCCCCACCATGCACCCCTGGGAACACCTTTCCCATGAGGCCAGTGGCTTTCTCCCAAGATTTGGTGCTGGAATCTTCTCCACCAATCACAGGGTAAGAGTTTGATGCTGATCAGAGTTTACTCCTTAGCTGGCTGTGATTTAAGATGGGTACATATATACAATGGAATACTACTCAGCCACGAAAAGGAACGAAATTGGGTCATTTGTAGAGACATGGATGAACATAGAGACAGTCATACAGAGTGAAGTAAGTCAGAAAGAGAAAAACAAATATTGTATATTGACGCATATATGTGGAATCTAGAAAAATGTACAGATGAACTGGTTTGCAAGGCAGAAATAGAGACACAGATGTAGGGAACAAACGTATGGACACCAAGGGGGGAAAGTGGTGGGCAGGGGGTGGTGGTTGTGGTGGGATGAATTGGGAGATTGGGATTGACATGTATACACTAATATGTATAAAATAGATAACTAATAAGAACCTGCTGTATAAAAAATAAAGGAAAAAAAAAGGTTTTGCTGCAATGACAGTTATAGAGAACATAGAATAGAAAAAGCCCTGGGCTAGGCATTTGGAACCCTAGAGAGGCAGCAGGATGTACTGGTTATAAGTGTGGGCCCTGGAGTTAGAAGACCTGTGTTCAAATCTTTACTCTGTCACTTTACTGACTAGGTGACAATGGCAAGTTCCTTGTACTCTCTAAATGTCAGAAATTATACTGGGTAACATCTTACTGAAAAACCTGAACAAACTTTTTGGCCAATCCAATATAATATGCACTTCTCCCGTAGGGTTGTTGTGAGGATTAAAAAGAATCATACATGTGAAACACTTAGCATAGTGCCCAGGAAGTTGTTAACAAATACCAAATATTAGTTGTTATTATTTTTGGAGACAGAAGATCCAGATTCAAACCCCAGACCTGCCACTTATTCTCTGTGACACTGGGTGACCCCCATGCTAGCTGACTGGGGCAGGAGTAGGTAAATCTGATGCCTCCAACCCAGCACTCATCTCTGGTCCAGCATTTGGGAGCTACTTGATTAGCCTTCCCCATGTTCAGTTTACTCATCAAGAACACCACCCAAAAGATCCGTGTGTGAGTTATGTGAGATAATTGTGGGAAAGACTTGCCATCGCCATAAATGTTGGGTGACCTCAACACGTCCCTGTCGTACTATCCTCACAGTATTTCTTGTCGTGTCTGGGTCTTCCTTATAAACTCTTCCTCTGATTTTGCCTTCCCTCCATCATTCCCCAGTACTTATCTGCTCCTATCACTACCCCTTCAGGACTCTTCTGGAAAACTTTGCTGGTTGCTTCTCCAACCCCTTTATTCTTTGAGTACTTTCTCTTGCAGAAGCTGAAAATGCTCACTTTCCCAGCCTCCCTTGCAGCTCCCCTGTGGAGCCACCTCTGCAAATTCTGGCTGATGAGATGGGATGGGAATGTCCTGGGGACTTCTGGGAAAGGTCTCCCTCCTAACAAGAGAGAGATTCCTGAGGAGAGGCCCCTTTACATCCATCTTTTCTTTCCTGCTTTAGACAATGCTATGTGAACAAGTGATACTTACCACACTGCTTCAGCCACCTTGTGCCCCAAAGTGGGGGTATCACTGACGTGCTGAGATAGCAGAGCAAAGAGATGGAAGGAGCCTGTGTCCACATCCCTGAGTGGCCAACCCAGCACTGGAACTTCTCTCTTTGGACCTCTTATCCTGAGGGATCCTTGGATCTATTGAGTTCTGTTACTTGCCGCTGAGAGCATCACCACTGGCATGACCCAGTTCTCTTCTCATTATGCTCTGCCTGCCCACCCCCCACCCCGCAAGATTTCCTTCCTTTTGATCCCTGACTTGATCCATCCACAGGGCGTTGAGGTGACTATCAAACACAGCGGGAAAAATGAGCCCCCAGCCCCCTGGGGCAGGGATGTCCTGAAACACTATCTGATGCGTTATTCTGGATCCTGTTGTTGCCACCACCACTTAAAGATTGAGGAGGAAGAACATTTCTTTCATATAAATCTGAATTCTGAAGAGTGGTCTTGGAAGTCAGCTTGACTAACTTATTGAGACCCACTGCATGTACTGGAAATAGGAAGAATGAAGACTCAGCCCTCACCCTTGAGAAGCTGACCTGCTAGCACATGGTCAACCACACCACCAGGCAAAAACAGGAAGAGCCACAGAGAGTGATACACCAAGGTGTGGTCTGAGGACACAGTCTGTGAATGTTACCGCTCACAGTGTCGTAAGGGCTAGCACCAGAATGCAAATCAATTCAATTCATTACCAAGTATCTTGTTTCATTTGGCTGAAATTACGTGTGTGTGTGTGTGTGTGTGTTTGGGGGGGGGTTGGTGACAAAACTTTCTTGATGAAGAAAGCAGTGGATTGATTTACATTTGGACACAGCTCATTATTTTGTTGTGAACCAGCACGTTGGGTAGTACTGTCATAAATGGACTGTGACAGTTCAAGGAGTGTTAGAGAGAATTAAGGTCTCTGTGGAAGAAAGGGATATGATGATGTATCTTGATGAAATAGGTAAGAACTGAACAGAAAGGAGTGGGAAGAGAGAACAGAAGTAGGTACACTGGTAGGAACAATATGAAGTCTGACTCCAGGTAGCCAGAGGGTGCATATAGGGTCATACAGGAGGTGAGTCTGGAGGACAAATTGGAGCGAGACAGGGAGGGGCTTGCAATAGCAGACTGAGGAGTCTGAACCTCTTTTGGTCTAAAATGGGAAGCCATTTATGTCCTTTGAAAAGTCAGAGTAGCTTTAGGACAATTGATCAGGTGTCAGAAATGAGAGCTGGTCTGTAAAGAGGAGCGAGCAGAGAGAGAGACAGAGATAGACGTAGGCCTGGGCCAGGGAAGGATGATAAGAAAGTGACTGGAGTGGGGTTAAGTGAGAGGTAGGGATCAAAAATGAGCACCAGGTTTGAAGACCAGGTCACAAGAGAGCACTGACAGAAGTGGCAAGGTCAGGTGAGCCGGAGGAGGTGCTTGGTGGACTTTTCTATTGAGGCTCTGGTATGTGGATCAGGAATCCATGGGCAACAGGAGGTGGGTGTAGGAGTGTGGAGCTCAGAACAGAGATCTGATAATCACACTCACTCATCTGAGAGTTGGCACCAGAATACACTAGTGAGAGAGGATATCACCCAAGGGAGAAGTAGAGAAAGAAGACAGTCAAGGATTTAGAGAACTGTATACATTTCAAGGTGGGTGGAAGAGAAGAAGGATAAAGATGGAGTACATCTTGGAGAGAGAAGCTGAGGACCGCGGTGCTGTAGAAACCCATGGAAGAGTCTGGTCCAAGGAAAGCACAGCACATGGCACTGAGAGCTGTAGAGCGTGATGAATATGAGGCGCCTGTGACTGGGAGCTGAGCTTCCCAAGGATTGTTTGAGGGATGTGGTGAGGGCACAGATCATATTTCAGGTTTAGGGAGGGAGGGGTTGGTGAGGGAATGAGGCAACTGAGCTGGATGTCAGTCTGAGGAAGTCTGATGGTCAAATAAGAAGAGGGAGCGACAGGGCCAAGGGCAGGTTTTTGTTAGAATGGGGAGAGGAATCAGCAAAAGGGGAAGAGGCAGCAGAAAGAGAAGATGTGGCAGGAGGGGCTGGGCTCCCTGATGATGGCAGGGCCTGAAGGGCAGGGACACCACAGAGGGGTGAGCCAGGGAGGGAACCTACGGTCTTTTGAGATGGGAGCAAAGGAAGAAAGGACAGCTGAACAGAAGCAGCGATTCTAAGGTGGAAGGAAGGGAAGTGGATGTTGCTCACAGCACTGTCCTGATATTCTGAGTAAAGTCAGTCATCAGCTGAGGTTGACGGCAGTCAGGCTGGGGCTGGAGCCATTTCCCAAACTGGTTCACTGACGTGCCCAAGATCAAAGAACTGGAAAATGCTAGCTTTAGGACCAGAACCCAAGTCTTCCACCTGCCAAGTTCAGTGGTCTTTCTGCTGCAACGGAAATTCTAAACTTTGGTATTCTAATATGAGATGTTAGGTCTATACTATTTCATCAAGTACGCTTAAATAAGCTATTCTGACTATTTAGGAAAGGACAATCTGCCCTCCATATGCGTGGGTTTCGCGCACATCCAAGGTTGGTTGAATTTGCGGTTGGGAAACCCATGGATATGGAGGGCAGACTCTACCGTGACATTTTATATATAAGGGACTTGAGCATCTGCAAGTTTTGGTGTCCATGGGGGCTCCTGGAACCAATGCCCGCGGCTACCGAGAGACAACTTTAGTCTACTTTGAAAGCAGCTCGAGACCACTAGTGAAGGACTGAGAATTTAATTTGTCAAGTTTCAAAAATATTAATAAGATGTCTCAAAAAATTAAGAATTATTTTTAAAAGTTACAAATCAAGGCCACCTCTTTTTCCAGGTGAAAATATGCGAAGAACTTTCTAATGGCCTGCTTATTTCTCCAAAATCCTGGAGTAAACCTGTAATAAAAATGATACACCCTTTTTGCATTAGCTTAAGCCCACAGTTTTGTTTAACCTCAGGCCTACTGCCTTTTTAGGCTAGGCAATTCTTTGCTGTGGAGGCCTGTCCTATGTACTGTAGGACGTATAGCAGCATCCCTGGCCTCTACCCACTAGATGCCCTTAGCACAAGCCCCTCTGCGAAAAGTTGTGACAACCAGACATGTCCCCAGAAGGAGAGGGGGAGAGGGGCAAAACTGCCCCCAGTTGAGAACCACTGCTTTAACCTAATGAGGCCAAGTACAGGTTTCACCATGAGGAGAACCCACAAGAGAGGGTTGTAGTCAGGTTGCCCTGTGGAACAAAGACTTTTGCCCACAGAGTAATGACCTCTGACATGGAAGAATCTGATGGGCAACACTTTTTGGCTCCACTCTCTCCAACTCACCAAAAGAACACAGTGTAAGAAATACTGTTGTTTCATTAACCATTGGAATGAAATCTTATGGATAAGACTCACCGATCTTTCTCAACGATAGCAGGAGAGTTGCTTGAAGTTTCTGCATGGCCATTGCTGGATTCTGCTTGTGGACTGCTTTTACGATCGACAGAGCCCCTCAGAACTGAGAGAAAGCAAATGAGTACTTAGAGGCTAAGGATCAACTCAGAAGTAGGCAGGGTTTACTCTCCGCCGCACCTCTCTCCCCGTCCTCGTGCTGCTCTCTGACTTTCTGCAGCCTTTGTCTAGGACACCTCATCAAAACTGACCTGTTCTGTGATTACGGGCCTTGCTCAGTACTCGGTCCCAGCCAGCAAATTGGATAAAATGACTCATCTATAGGAAAACAAGCTACCTCTCTTTGACAACAGATATAAAGAGCGGGCAGGTTGGAAGCCCCAAGGTGAGGTAGATGGTGAAGGCAGCAGCACGCAGTAGCTGGAACGGTGCAGTGCTAGACAGGGTTAGGAGACCAGCCTCCATTCCCGGCTGGGCTGGGCAGGGCTGCCCGCTGATGAGGACGGTGGTCGAGAAACACTGTCACAACATGGCTAGGATTACGGTAACTAGGGAATTATTCCAGCGGGAACTCAGTTCTGTATTGTGATTGAGGACAGCTTACTGGTGAGTTTCTCAAGAGTCGGGGGTCACAAATACACTTCCTCCTTCCTGTGACCATGGCAGCCAGGACTGACTAATCATGGCCCCTCTCTCTTGAACTTTCATTCGGCTTCAAGTTCCTTTCTAACACAACGTTTCACATCAGTGGTTCTCAAAGTATGGACCCCACATCATCACGGCTAATCGAGAACACATTTCATGAAGCATCAACATCGCCTACAGACTTGTTAGAAATGCAAATTCTTGGGTCCCAGCCCTGACCTAAGTGAACCAGAAAGTCCAGGGGTGGAGACTGGCAATATGTGTTTTTAACAAGCCCTTGAGGTAATCAGGATCCATGTTGAAGTTTGGGAGACACTGCTCCAGATCAACAATTCTTAACCCTAGCTGTACATTAGAATCACCCAGGAAGATTTTAAATATGCCTGAACCCAACTCCCAGAGATTCTGAAACTGATCTGGTGTGGGGTTGGCATCATTTTTTAAAAGCTCTCTAGATAATTTTAAAGTGTGGCCAAGGCTGAGAACCATAGTTCCATGTAGTCACTACCAATCCTTCAGGGTTGTAAAGAGACTCTACACTTATTTGCTATCCTTATTTCAGATCATCTAGAAACATCCAAACCAAAATACAACCAATGGAGATAATCTTTAAATTTACCAATTGTGACATATTGTGGAAGGTACATAAAATATAAAAAGTTGATGTTATAATGATGAAACATATAACACAACAAAAATGGAGTACAGAAAAAGAAATATGGAAATCAATTGTTTTTTGTGTTGTCTATTCTAGAAAGAGTATGCTCTGATTCTACATTATTGGTTTGGTCTCTTAGGCATATTTATCTCTTGTGTAGAAGAAATGTAATGCTTTTTCGCTATCAGTGGTAGATAAGACCATCTGTTGTTGTTATTACTATTGCTATAAACACCAAAGGGATAAAAAGAAAATTTTATATGGAACATTATTACATTTTTATTATTATACACACGCACACAAACATTATGACCAAACAGTGAAACAACAATATTAAAAGAAGGGGAAAAAAAAGGAGAAATCAAGAAAAACAGCCTTTTAGAATTTCATGAGCTGATCCCCACCCCTGCCCCCCACCGCCTTCTCTTGATAGATGAACTCCTCTGGTTAGAGGACCAGGCAGGTTTCCTCTCCTGGAGATTCTAAAACATTGTTTGGCCCAAGCTCGCTTGTAATACTGCGCTAAGCAGCATAAAATCAAGAACTGACATTAAAAAAAAAAAAGAGAGAAGCCCACTTCAGGGGCACAAATATCTGTCTCCTTATTAAGAAGGAAAATCGACACAACTCATTTTTAACCTTGTTCTCTGGCCCAGTTCAGCAGCACCAAGGGCTACCTACCACTCACTGATCAAACCCTAGATGGTCTTGCCATGTGGGAAGTTGAGGGTGCTATTGTCTGCACCTATTTTGAGATCCTCAGTATGAAAAGGAGCAATTCGGAGAAGAAGAAGCACAAGCAAAGCTAGGAAAGACCACCAACCCCTTTTGGTTTGGGGCTGTCCTTAGGAAGGTGCCCTTTCCACTACCAGGAAGAGAGAAGGCAGTAACACCTTTATTTGGAGCTTAGCAAAATGCCCCCAGTTGCTTTGCCTGGGTTTCCAGTAACAACCCATAGAGTTTCTATTCGTGTAATTAAAGGGAAAACTCATTCCTTGTTTCTTATTCACTTGCACTTCAGTCATCAAAATATTGATTTTTTAGAGTTATTTGAAGTTTAAAAACCAAACAGAAACTTACAGAATATTCTTATTAAAGCTTAGATGAAGTCTGCCCCTCCATCTCCCAGCTCTGCCAGAAGAGCAGGGGTAAGGATTTGGGTCAGAGTAAAGAGATAAACTTAAATAAGAAGAAAGTAATCATTGTGTTGTACACCTGACACAAACATAATGTTGTAGGTCAATTATACCTCAATTTTAAAAGTTTTTCTTTTAATGAATAAAAAATAAGAAGGAGGTTGTCAAACCATTGAGTTCAAAGCAAAATCCTAAATTGTCAAATATTGTTAAATATGTCTGGTGACAGTTGGAATCACCTGGCATCTCTCTGGCAAATTAATTGTTAAACAAGGAGATTGGAGAAATGGAGCTATGGAGAAAAACAGTAGAGTAAAATAGGGTGATTCATTCTAAGTGAGTAGATCAGGTTAAAGGAATTAGACCAATGACATGGCTGAGAAAACTAAATGGTGAACTTCAACAGTTCACAAAATATCAGACGTGAGGTATGTGCAGGTGTGACCACAGAGGCTCCTCCAGACATGGGTCTCCTGTCTTCAGGGAAGCATCCTTAAGTATTCTGGTTAAGTGGAATAAAGAAATACTGGGAGGGACTTCTCTGGAGGAGTTGAATCCTTCCAAAATCAGGCTGAACTCTAGAGCCATTCATATTTCCCAGGAAAATTGAGCCAATTCTCCACTGGACCATTTTGAAATAAGATGAAAAAGCATTTGACCATCAGGAGGAAAAAAAAAAAAAAAGAAAGAAAACAACATAGCAGGTGTTGCAAACTCAAAATGCCTTTGGGGTCACTCAGGTAACACGAATATGTGTAGTGTCAGGCAGAGGATGGGGAGTAGTGGGGTTTGTGGTGAGCCAGAGGACGTACACCCCATCTGAAGACATTCGGGTTCAATGTTTTTGTAAAAAAACAAAACAAAAACTCTGTGTCTGGCCAAACAAAACATACCTGCGTGCTGATTGCAACAGGAAGACTCCTATTTCTGACTTCTGCTAGGGAGAAAGGGTCTAGACTGCAGGTCTGTAACAGCTAGACATCCTTTTATGAAAATGAAAAGTGTCTCACCGTCTCCACCTCCATGTCTCCTCAAGTTCAAGAAACACTGCTGCTCCTGGGGCTCTCCCTGTCCTTTTTTTCCCACACCCTAACCTCCTTGCCCCCAGGTAAAGCTCCAGTTGTGTATTTTCTTGAAACCTAGGCTGGGCAGCAGATTCCAAAGGAGCTGGAAGCGCCCAGAGCCTCGTCACTGGGCCTGGCGGAGAAACTAACCACAAACTCTACCGTGAAATCCAGGGCAGCTCAGCTTCTCTTCCCATACAATGCTAGCATTAGCGTTAAAGGTTATATTTTTAAAAATCGTAGCTGCTTCTTCAAGTGGAAGTCCAGGGAACTTCAAACTGAAAAATGGGAGGATTCTAATATTTTTTAAATGTTTGAAAACCACTGATTTAGTCCAATTCTCTCATTTTACAATGACGGTAATTAAGGGAAGGCTTAGACCAGATACCCAAGTTTTAACTTCTTGTCCACAGTGTTCCTTCCCCCCATGAATGTTCTCAATATGTTCCAGTGTCAGGACCATAGAAAGATCTTCCTGAGAAGCTAAACTTTCAGAAGGTCTTAAGGTAAATCAGAGAGAAACATGTCAGCGTCTGCTCTAAGAGGATGGGTGGAAGGGAGACAGCTGGTACAGAGAGCTGCAACTAGACCAGTTCCCCCAGTGAACAGGTAACTGGGCACCCAGGACAGCTGTGGAGGGAGGGCTTGAGCTTATCTCTGTCTACTCTCTCCCCTTCTGTGAAATCACCTTGCAGAGTCCCCTGCAAGGCTGCCCCTGAATTTAATCAGCTGTCACCTGTAGGAAAAAAAGAATGCCCGACAGAGAGTCCATATCAGGTGATCATTTCCAGCTCTGGAATCTTCTCTGGAGTGTCCACAAATACAGGACACCCATCCCAAACCTCTAATGACCTCACCTTTGTGGTCGCCGGGCTCACTGCAGTCTTGAACCTGGGCAGTTCCCCTGGTGCCCCCTGCAACGGTGGGGTGTAGATCACAGCTTTGGTCTGAAGGGCTCCCTGTGGAATGAAACAAAACAGAATCTTCTCTAGGTTATGCCCTACACCTAGACGAATTACCAAAGTGGGAGATACAGTGTGGCTAGGGAAACACTTTTCTTATGGTTTGAGGCTCTGAGGTGATGAATCTCACCCATGGGTTTAGTGTTACTTTGAAGATTTAATACAGTGTGGTTGTGAAAGGGCACAACTATAGGGAACAGGAGAATTAGTAACTGTCTTGGCTGGACTCCCTACTAGCTTGGAGACATTGGGTAGGTTGGGTAACCTCTGTGTCTCACTGATTGCGTTAGTCAAATAGGGAGCTGGGAGACAAATAGAGGTCATGCGTGTACTAGGCCAGGGCTCCTGGTTTGACAACTGGATGGCTTTCCTGTTGCCTTTCAGTTTCCACCTGAGAGTAAAAAGAGAGACAGGTCTCCTACTTCCCTCCAAACATCTGCTCTAGGCCAGGCCTCTTTTGTCATGCAGTCCTGTTCACTGACCTTTGTGGGTCAATGGTCAATTACTCTGCTATGGAAAAAACAGGCTACACACAATTCTTAGTCGAGGAATGTCACCACTGCAGCTTTTCATCATCCAGTTTAGCTTACTTCGCGTTGATGAACACCTAAATACTTCTCTACCAAGACAGCTGATGGCTTGGGTGTAAAGGTGCTAAAGGGATGTTCCCGGCTGTCCCATGTCTTCTTCCATGCTCCACGACCCTCAAGGTCACAATGGGTTGAAGATGTCCCAACATCTCAGACCACCTCAAGTATCTGGAGAGACCAGGTCCTTTCCAACTGGATCCCTTGGCTTTAGAAGAAACCATCCTGCCAGCGGGGCCTCCTCTCCACAGAGGAGACCGTCTTTGGGCTCTTCCCTTAGGCATCAACCTAACTCTGTCCCATCTCCCTTCTCCCTGGCCTGTGATCTAGACCCTGTTTTCTCTCTCGTCTGCACCTCCTCCTAACTCTGGCTGTTTCCAGTTCTGCTGACAGTGCTTCTAGATACGCCATATTAGAATATTTGGGATCTCTGATCTTTCTCCTTTTTTATTTCCTCCAATGTGGTTTTTTTCATGCCGTCTCTCTCCCTCTTTCTGGATGGCTCTCCTGCTTCAAGCACTGCTCTCCCACCCAGCCATGTCTCTCCATTCCTTTAAGGAGGCCCAGTAAACATTCCCGTGTTAACTAATGCCGGCTAACTCAGACTATACTTAAGGAGGCACACACAGTCCCTACCCTCATGGAGCTTGCATTCTGACACAGAGAGTGAGAATAAAAAGAGATATCTACCTGGAACCTCAGCATGTGTGACCTTACTTGGAAATAGGGTCTGTGCAGATGTAATTAGTTTAAAACGAGGCCCTACTGGATTAAGGTGGGTCTTAAATCCAGCGATTAGTATCCTTATAAGAAGTCCACGTGAAGACACAGAAAGACACAGGGAGAATGCATGTGACAACAGAAGCTGAGAGTGAAGTGATGGGCCTAACAAGCCAAGGGATGCCAAGGATTGCTAGGACCCAGAAGGAGCTAGGAGAGGGGTATGGAAAGGATTCTCCCTCAGAGCCTCCAGTGGAAACCAATCTCAGTGACACCTTGATTCTGGGTTTCTAGTCTCCTGAACTGTAAGAGAATAAATTTCCATTGTTTTAAACTACAAAGTTTGTGGTAATTTGTAGCCCTAGGAAACTACAATAATATGAGAAGGGGGAGCTGATGGATGTTAAAGGTTTAACTAGAAGAAAGAGGAGAAAAAGATCAAGTATGTGCATTCAGCTTGAATTGGCTAGCAAGGTGGGGATGGGGTGGTGGGAGAAAAACTAGGAACAGGAGCTAGGGAAATGGCCATTATTTGTATTTAACAAACACAAATGTATGAATTATGATGTTCCATCCATTGTCCTAAGCCCTTTATAAAAATTAACTCATTTAATCCTCATAGGAACTGTAAAAGGCAGAGACCACTATTATTCCCATTTTACAGCTGAGGAAACTGAGGCACAGGGAGGTTAAATGATTTTCCCAAGAAAGTCACACACAGCTAGAGAATGGCAGACTCAGGGTTCAAACCTAAGCAGTTTTGCCCTAAAGTCTGAATTCCTAAATATTACAGGGTACAGCCCGTTTATTTAAACATTTAAAAATGATTAACCTCCACTGTCCTATTTTTTAATTTACAAATGGAAATAAAATTCAGACTATTTCATTCACATGTCTGGGCCTTTAAGGGTCCCACAGATTAGCTGCTGCAGAAGGAGGCTCTGGCCTGGTGTTTGATGACCCACCTAGAGGACAGACTCAGGCATTATTTCCAGCAGGGACACTGGGTAGGTTTCCTGGTTGGTGATCTAGGCTGGGTAAGCTTTCCTGCCTTCACCACGGACCTGGCAAACGTGCCCACTGTACCTGGCAGAGGGGCGCATAAAGATGAGGCGTAGAAGCCCAGCCCTCCCCTCCTCACCACTGCGGGCCACTGGCGCGAGGACCCTGTGGTTTCTGGCTGGAGTGACGGCTGGTCAGCAGCCATCTTATCAGAATTTAAAGAGGCCAACTTGTTGGAGGTCCAACAGGCAAATGCCACCAAAAGCAGCACAAAGTCGAATTCTTAAAGAATAGAATCTCATTGACACTTATTTTCCCCCACTACAGCTGCATCAGGAACCCTGGCCTCCATCTCCACCACACAAAACAAGTCTAGTAATTTTAGGCCTATGAGAGCATTTTCCACTTTGATTCTTCACTACTTAATTCCAGTTATTATTCCAGTCTAACTTTGACAGAGTTCAAAGAAAGTCTTGTCTGGGAACTGTTTTCTCTAACTTGGAGGCTAAGGAGGGAGGCTTTCCCTCACCCTAGAGGTCAGTTTCTTGCCTATCCTGGAGCATCACTGAGGGATTTCTCTTCCATTCCAGCTTCTAGGGACTGCCTCTCTCTTCTCTCCCAACTCCCAGCAGCCTCAGGTTGGATTCATTTCTTATAATTTATGCTCTGCCTGTTTCCAAAAAGGACTTGGGGTGGGGGAGCGTCATAGATCATTTGCTCCTGTGGCTGTGTTAGTTGGCTCTTAGTACTCCTCTCAAGCCTGTGGTAGGCGTGTTGGTCTTGGTTCCATCTGAGACCGTCCCCCCTTGTTAAAAAGTGTGTATTTTTAGAGCAGTTTTAGGTTCACAGCAAAATTGAGGGGGAGGTACAGAGATCTCCTCTAACCCTCTGCCCCCATACATACACAGTCTCCCCATCATCAACATCCCCCATCAAGTGTACATCTGTTACGATCCATGAACCTACACTGACACATCATAAGTTCCCATAATTACCCAAATTGCATAGTTTACATTACAGCTCGCTCCTGGTGCTGTACATTCTATGAGTTTGGACAAAAGTATAATGACATGTATCCATCATTATGGTACCATACAGAGTATTTTCACTGCCCTAAAAATCCTCTGTGTTCCGCCTATTCATCCCTTCCCACAGCTCCTCACCCCCTGACAACTACTGGTCTTTTTACTGTCTCCATAGTTATGCCTTTTCCAGAATGTCGTACGGTTGGGATCATACAGTATGTATCATTTTCAGGTTGGCTTCTTTCACTTAGTAATATGCATTTAAGATTACTTCATGTCTTTTGTGGCTTGATAGCTCACTTTTTTTCAGTGCTTAAAACTATCCCGTTGTATGGATGTGCCACGGTTTATCCATTCGCCTACAGAAGGACATCTTGGTCGCTTCCAAGTTCTGGCACTTAAGAGTAAAGCTGCCTGAATCTGTGCAGGTTTCTATGTGGACACAAGTTTTCAACTCCTTTGGGAAAACACCAAGAAGAACGATTACTGGATCATACAGTAAGAGCATGTTTAGTTTTATAAGAAACCTCCACACTCTCTTCCAAAGTGGCTGCACCATTTTGCACTCCCACCAGCAATGAATGAGAGTTCCTATTGCTCCACATTCTCACCAGCATTTGGTGCTGTCGGTGTTGCAGATTTTAGCTATTCTAACAGGTAAACAGTGGTATCTCATCAATGTTTTAATTTGTATTTCCCTGATGATGTATGATGTGGAGCATCAGACTGTCTTCCTCTCTTCTTAAGGGAAAAAAAGCCAACATTTTTATGTTGTTTTTGTGACCACCCCCAAAGCATCCAGCAGCGTGTTCTTTATAGACAGGATGTTCAGAATGTTTGGGGGGAAGGACAGCAGATCGGGAGTCAGGCAGTCTGAATTGCGGGAGGTTTCTTAGCCACAATCTGTAAAATGGGATAAAATCCCTAACCTACCTCTCAGGGTTACTATGATAATTACAGGAATAAGGTTAGTGGAAGTCCTTTGCATGAATGTATGAACTGTAAATTGCCATGCAAAAAGTATAAGATGTTATAAAAATAAGCATTTCTATTGGTTAATCAAGAAGGAAACAACTCTTACCTCCAGGATCATTCTGGCTTCTTATAAAACAAAGTTATTTACTTTCCTCTAAATTTTTCTTAAAAAGACAAATTTCTGAAAGTTTATAGTAGCTTTATTCATAATCACAGGAACTGGAAACAAGTGTCCTTTAGCTGGTAAATGGACACAACTGTGGTACATCCACAGACCAGAATTCAGCTCAGCAATGAAAAAGAACAAACTACTGATAAATGTAACAACACTGATGACTCTCAAAAGCATTATGATAAGTGAAAGAAGCCAGACTCAAATATCTACATACTGTATGCCTCCATTTATATGACATTTTGGAACATGTAAAATTACAGGGACAGGAAAACCATTAGTGGTCACCAGAAGCTGGGGGTGGGGAAGGGATGGACGACAGAAGGGGCATGAGAGAACTTTTGGAAACGTTCCTTTTCTTGATTGTGGAGGGGGTTACCTGACTATATGTGTTCACCCAATTTTATCAAACTGAGTTTTACTCTGTATAAATTATACCTCAATAAATCTGACTTGCAAAAAGCCACCAGAATTTTTTAAAAATAAAAGGATAAGTCCCCCTTATCCTCAAACTGG